TTAATGACACTCTGCGAGAGCTTGGGCTTGGTAACACCACCACATATTTGATTTCTCCCACGAGTGCTAGCAATACTGTTAAACATACTTCTTGTGGTTAGAACCTGTCTTTCTGTAGTATTTTTCTACACCTGTAGCCGCACAAGAAAGGTGCTGGGGAGAAAAAGCTGCCAAATGTCCAGCACAGCATCAGTAACATTAAATACTGGCTTTCTTTGTGTATGAATTAATCCAGGTTAATTACAAGGGTTGTTGAATCCAAATAGTATTTGTTTTGTATGATCTGATTTTACATGTTTTACTGCAAGGCCTTGAATACCTAGGCTTCGATTCTGTGGAGCAGCAGAGAGCACTTGGCATTAAGTCTGGGATGAAGGGAATGCTTTAGCTTTCAGCTGCCGAGCTAGCTGCTGTTAAGAGACTGCAGCAGTCTGACAGCAACCACAGCATTGCTGCTGTTCTTCAAATGCTGTGTCAGGAAATAGGTTGGCGCAAGGATGCTCTGATAATGCTTATTTTTGTACCTTGTCAGTACAGAGATGTTGGCAGCTTGAGCACGGAGGAAGGGAGAGCCGCAGTTGTTGAGAGTGGGAAGCAGGGCACAAGTGCCACAGCACGTGGCCAGGTTGTGAACTGTCCAAATGCAGCTGAATCCTTACAGCTGCAGCGACTGAAAAGGAGCATCTCTGATAGCCAGGCCGTTCATAACTTAGAGTATTCATACCCAGCCGTGTAACTGGCTGTCTGGAGCAGCAGCTGAAGCTGTCTGAATGTACATATTGCGTGTACATACATACATGTTGAAGGTGCTGAGAAGCTCTCTTGTGGAGGAGACAGTATGTCCTAGCCTTGTGAAATGTTTGTGGTCAGTTAAATGTTGATGTGAACACCTGAAGCTCTGCTCTGGCGTATCAGGAGAGAAAGCATGCTAACGTCCTCTTGTCTAGAGGGATTAAAATCACATTCTGCCATGTCAGCACAGAGCTGGCATTCAGGTGGTCACTGAAGGCCTTTTTGTTTTGAAATCCACAACATGTGATTAAAAATCTATAAATACTTCTGTATTTGTGCAGGCTGTATTTATGCAGGTGTATTGTATTTTTTTTAATGGGAAATAAAGACCAGCTCTCAATTGCCCTAAGCATGCTGCATTGAAGGTGGAGCTTCCCACACCTCCCTGCTGTGTCAGGCAGCCAGCAGTGATTGCTGCCCACACCAGTGTGCAGTACCAGTGCGAAGCGTGGCAGTGGTTTTTAACAGCGCCCTGTCAGGATCTGTGTCAGCACTTTGTTGTACTGGTGCTTTCAGAAACAGTTAAAATCTTCTTCTGTACAGAAGATTAATAATGACTCACGAGGCAGGAAGCTGAGTGCTGGGACCCGCTGTGACTTCGCAGCACAGAAGGCAATCCACCCAGCTGAGGAACAGCATCAAAGTCCTCAGCGTGTGTCTTCAGACTGCCACGGACAGAAATTGCTGCTGTTACATTTGACGTGTCCCATCTGTGGGCATTGGGACTTGTAGACTGTGTTTCAAATAATGTGGTTTCAACTGGAGAGCAGGTTAAGCCCTCATTAACCAGTGAGTGTTAAAAAGCTTATTCACTTGTCACCTCTACTGCACATTTCTTATGTTCTTGTGCTTCAGGAACTCACTTTACAGTGTGTTTTGAACTGTAGAGTTAGATTCTCTGCTACTTATTCACACTGAGTTTCTTTAAGGAGCTAAATTCTCTTACAATTTGAATTTCTGTGCTCTCATCTTACAGCAGGATCAGCAACTCAAGCTGACTAATCTCCAGCTGTTCTATACTACATTTGCAGTTAATATGAGGAGAATTATTTCAAGAATTACCCACTGTAAGCAGTAGGGCACAACATTCTGTAGAGGTTTGACCTTTATTTTCCATCTGCAAAGATGACCAAATGCACAGGCTTTCTGCAGTTGTTGCCAGCCTGTGTGAACCGAATAGTGAGTTAATCTGAACTCCTGTGTTCTGCTGGGCAAGGAACAATGTTTAGCCATAAATGCTGTGCCTTTGTTTTAACAATGCTTTCTGAACTGCAGAGAAGATTATAAAGAGCATATAAGCAATAAGTGCAGTCAGTTTTCAGTATTTCAGTGCCATGATGTTTGGGTGACTCCCCCAGGTTTCTTTGCCCCCCTTGGCTTTACTGCAGTCTGTACCCAGGCAGAGTCCCAGGGGATTCTAGTATAGAAAATTAAATTCCTTGATGGGCAGCAGAGGAGCTGCAGTGACCTGCACCATGAACCATGCTCAGGATCCCATCCAGTCCCTCAACAGCTTTTTGGTTCAGGGTTTTTATTCCCACCTAATGAAATGGAAGCAAATTGTTGGCTTTAATTAGAGATTCAGTGGTTTCCTCTTCGTTTCTTGCTGGTGGTGAGTGATAGACACTAAAATCGGAGTGCAGCCCCTGCCCGCTGAGTACAAAGCAGAGTCATTAAGAGGCCGAGCCCCAGCAGAGAGGGGAAAGGACAGAAGAGCCAGAGCAGCTCGACAGTAGTGCTGAGGTGTAGCAGTAGTAATGGTCTTTTCAGTCCACTCCAGCCAGGCCTCTGACTGACCTCATAACCCATGTGCATGTTGATCTATGCTCTTCACTTATGGTAATTCACAGTTTGAGTCCAAAATCACTGTAATTGTGTTTTGCTTTGTTTTCTTAATGCTGTTATCGATATATTTTTGTTTCTTTGCCAGTGGAAAACAAAAAGGTACTAAACTGAAAATCCAAAATAATTAACGCATGCATCCATGTGACAGGCAGGACATTTGAACTTTTTATTGCTTTCTGTGACTCTGATGGCTCTGTCTGCAGGAGGTGTTAATTGTGCATTACAAAATGGAGATGTTCTCTCAGAGGTCTCCCCTCCTCCACAGGTGACTCCTTCACTCCAGGAGCAATCAGTGCATTAACCTCCCCCCTCTCCTCTTCTATTGCACAAGCGTCAAACCAGGGAAACGGAGCCTGGTGTAAATCTGTTGCGATGCTCTGAATGAGACAGTTCTGCAGCACAATCAGATTCTGCCCTTCTTCAACCCATTATGCTGCTTTTCACAGCTGAATCTCTTTTGGTTTGGTTTGGTTTGGTCATTCCCCCTGCCCAAATCTTTGTTTCTTCTCTACTTCAGCGGTGATCCCCCTGACTGACTCTGAACACAAGTTGCTGCCTTTGCACTTTGCGGTCGATCCTGGGAAAGACTGGGAGTGGGGAAAAGATGACAATGATAACACCAGACTGGCCAAGTAAGACCTTTCTGTAACGTTAGTGTTGAGCAGTAAAATGTCTTGAGCCATGCCTGATTGAAGTACTGGGAGAATTGCACCAGAGAGGACTTTGTGCATGTGCTCTGGTGACATGGGAGAAGACACGGGTGGGTCCCTGGCTGGCAGTCACAGTTCAGGCTGCTGTCGCATCTCCCCCTGTTAAGAACTGTTGCTTTTTCTTTCTGGCTTTTTGACTGACTGTTTCCTTCTTTTTTTGTCCTTAGTTTGATTCTGTCTCTTGAGGCAAAGCTTAATCTTCTGCACAGCTACATGAATGTAACATGGATACGCATACCATCTGAGACACGGGTAAGGTGAACCCGCTTCGATCCAAACCAGATGAGGGGTACAAGGGAGAGCAGGGTGTTGTGCAGGGTCAAGTGCAGGAAACACCTCAGTGTCCCAGCAGCAGGGACAGGTCACTCATGGCTCACTGTCGTTGCAGTCAGGTTTATAGATGTTTCTGGTTATTGGTTTTAATAACAGAATTGCTTGTATGTTTTGTTGCAGCTGGTACTCTGTTCTGAAATGTATTTTCTAGCTTAATCTTTCTGTTACTCACTTCAGTAGTCCGTGTAGTTCAGAAAAGCCCTAAAATAGACCTTTTCTCACCATCATCTTCTCAGAACTTTGGCTTGCTTTCCCAGTGCAGGTCACCAGTCCAGGTCCTTTCTCTTTCTGAGAATACATCTGCACCCCTGGACAGCTCCCAGTTTTAGAGTGGCTGACAAAAGGCCACAGACTGGCACTGAACTGGAGCCTGCTACTCTCAGAAAGCTATTTTAGGATCTTGCCCAGCTGGCACCCAGTCAGCTGCAAATTTCTCTGCAAATTACATTGAATAGATTGAGAGGTTAGTCTGGAGGCAAAAGGTTGCTAGGAGAGGATGGAGGTGATTTAGACAGCCTACACAGATGGGATTTGAAAGGAGAAACAGAACACAAAAGGAGAAAGGATTTAACAAGCTGCAAGAAAGGAAAAATCCATTTTTCTACAGTTTCTGTAGTGGTAGCTACCACATCAGAAAAAGGAGAGGCAAAATGGTCCTGTAGTTGTAAACTGTGAGCCTGAACCTTGTATTACCTCTCCCTGCTTTGCACTTGCCACATGAGCATCGTCAGGTCACTTTAGCACTCGTTTTCTCCTCTGCCATGTGGGGATAACAGCTCTGTGCCCAGTGGGGTGGTGGGGTGGTCAGGGACTCCATAGAGACAGAGGACACTTAAGTAAGGACAAGAAGCAGATGTGCATTTCTGTACCTCTCCAAAGCTGCTTTTCCTTTTTTCGTTTTCCTCATTATAGTTAGTTAAATGCTTCATATTTCTCTCTAGCAGATTCTAGCGTTGTGGTGTTTGGAAGCAAGACTAGGTTTTGCAGGAGTAAGTGAACACAGCCCCACTCTGAATTAGCTCAGGGTCCTCCTTACTGCGTTTTCAAGAAATACGTTGTATTTCCTTACCTAAAATACGCAGTTGAACTCAGACTTCTGACGTGAGCTTCATCTGCATTATCTCCCCAGTAAGAATGAATGCACCTCACAGTATTCCTCAGTCTACTTGTTGAGGTTTCATATTCCAGGCGAGATGTTCAGCTCTGGTGCATCATACCTCTGATTTCCATGCACCAGAGTGCTGAACAGTGAAGAAAGTAATTGAAACAGGTTGTTTTGAACGTGATGAATTATGAAATATTGCTACATACAGGTCTGTGTGCTGCGTTCCCCTTACAGCTTTCAGCAGAACCTCACTTCCCTTCCATGACAAAGTTGTCAGTTTCTTTCCATGCTCATTGAGGCAGTCTATACTGTAGATGCTTCCTATGGAGTGGCCAATCCCTGTATGCTGGCCAGCCACTCAGCTGGTCAACACAAGCAGGGAGGTTGTGCTGCAGCCTCCCCCTCACCAGGAGCACTAACATCTCTCCATCACCCACTGATTTTGACAGAACCTCTGCGTGGCTGACCTCTGGTGTACAGATGTGCTTGAAATGAGCCAAAAGCTACTGTAGGAACAAGCAAGATACATAGCACAGCCAAATAAGCTTTATTTGATGAAGAAAAGAGGCTAAAAATGTCAGTGCATAAATTAAAAAGTACATTTTAAATCAATGTCAAAATACATATTGGATTTGGGGGCCTGGGGTTTTGGGTTTTTTTGCACTAAGTCCCTGTACGAAACTGATCTTGCTGTATCTAATTATAATTACTTTTCCATAGCAGGCCCCTTTGGCTCAACCAGAATCCCCTACAGCTTCAGCTGGGGAAGATGTTCAGTCTCTGGCTGACTCAATGGACTCGGACCGAGATTCCATCTGTAGTAATTCCAATGGCAATAATGGCAAAAACAGTAAAGAAAAAGAAAAGGACAAGCAGAGGAAAGACAAAGACAAAACCAGGACGGATTCGGTTGCCAATAAAATAGGAAGCCTCAGTAAAACCCTGGGAATTAAATTGAAAAAGAATATGGGTGGTCTTGGAGGCCTGGTGCATGGCAAAATGAGCAGAGCCAATTCAGGGAACGGAAAAAATGGTGATGCAGTAGAGAAAGTCAAAGAGAAGAAATCCAAGTCTCGAAAAGGGAGCAAAGAGGAGTCTGGACAGTCTGCGAGCACTTCTCCGTCTGAGAAGACCACTCCCTCCCCGACGGACAGAGCGAGCAACTCGCCCGTCGAGAAGACGAGCGCTAAATCCTTCCCTGACAAGCAGGCCGACCCGTGGAAGTACAGCACCGACGTGAAACTCAGCCTCAATATTCTGAGAGCTGCCATGCAGGGCGAACGGAAGTTCATTTTTGCTGGCCTTCTTTTGACCAGTCACAGGCATCAGTTCCACGAGGAGATGATAGGCTACTACCTGACCAGTGCACAGGAGCGTTTCAATGCGGAACAGGAACAGAAAAGAAAGGATGCTGAGAAAAAGGCTGCACTGAATGGGTCATCTAGTAGGAAACTGGAGCCAGAAGCATATTCAAAAGAGAAACCGGAACCATCTCCTCAGGACAGGGCATCACCCGTCTTGCCTCAAAGCCATACAACTCAGCTGGTTTTAAAATTTAAAGACCGCACTAGCCCCACTCCTGGGTCGTTTTCTTCACCAAGTAACGGTGCTAAGAAAAGTGGACCCATCCCAGTGTCTGCCCACTATAGCCATACGCCACCTGTCCAAAGGCAAAGTGTCATCCATTTGCATGATGTCAACTCCAAGCCATCGAGCTTCCAAGATGATACCTACAAGCCAGTGGTTGGCACCTTAAAGACCTGTGCCACCTATCCCCAGCAGAACAGATCACTGTCTTCTCAGAGCTATAGCCCAGCCCGGATATCCGGTATCCGCACAGTGAACACGGTGGAATCGCTGAGCTACGCTATGCCTACTGAACACAAGTCTCAGACATACACAAATGGGTTCAATACTGGTGATATTAGAGACTGCTTAGAATATGCTGATGAGGATGCTCCACAGACCTGGTTGAACAATGATAAAAATCAAGGCAGAAGCACAGTTTGCCCAATCTATTCCATCCAGCAGAACCGCTGTAAGAAGGAGAACTGTTCCTTCTACGGTCGTCCGGAGACTGACAATTACTGTTCATACTGCTACAAAGAGGAGTTAAAGCGCAGGGAGAGAGAAAGCAAGGGACACAGGCATTGAGGATGCTCCCGTGACTACTTAGTTTTACCATTTTCTTACTTACAAAGTAAACAGTGTGGAATGGCAGCAGAAGGAATCCTTACAAAAAGAATAAAGGATTGATGGGAAAATAATGTCTAGCTTTTCGCTTTTCCAGGGCAATGAGGAGATGATAGGATTAATTTATCATAAAAACAAGAATATTATTTTCCATTTTGTCAGTGTCTTTTTTACATATACTGGTAAGCTGAAGGGTTGTTTACTCCTTTGTCAGTGCTGTGTATATGTTTGGTCAAAAATTTACTAATGGTGCCTGAATTTACACTGACATCACTCAGGTAGTAGAATGATAGGGGAAAGTCATAATACCGGAGATGTGGTGTTGTAGTAGGGTAGTATCTGCCTGGCAGACAGATGAAATTCTATAGCTATTATGAGAGTATTTTTTCCTCTGCAAAACCTAAATTTTTCATAGCCTATTTTCTTTTTTTTCTTTTAGGAGGGTAGTGATTTGCTACTGCACATGTTTAACCTGGCAGCATACTGCATTACCACTAACGTTTGTGCTCACTTCAGTCTGGAATGGAATGATGCTGGGAAAATGGGAGTGAGAGGTCTGAATTCATGAGGGCTGTAGCTCTTCCTAATTTTAAGTTTTTACCACTTATTTATGTATTTCCAATTAAAAAAAAAAAAGTAGATTTGAGCCACTTGTATTTGTACTGAATTTTTAAACAGGCTTTACGTTATGATTGGCAAGACTTCACACCACCAAAACCCCTCCCATAGTATAGTTTTGGGTGCCTGAATTTCAGCGGTATTTTCATTGATGTTAAAATGGAGAGAAATGTAAAAGTAAAATTAAAACATTATACTGGATTTGGAAAATGTGATAACTAGCTGGGAAATTGAGGATCATTTTAGAGCTGAATGAACTGCTTGTCAAAACAAACGTATTGCATCGATTGATTCCCCTAGCCATTGCGTGAATGTAATCATTGTTTGCTCGTTCCTTTCTCAACATTACTGAGTGACAGTTATAGTGAACCTGACTACTCCTGAGGTTTTCTGATGGCTCCACCTCTTTTGGGGCCTTCTCCTGGAGCGAGATGCATACTCGCCAGGAGGTGGCAAGATGTCTGTACAATACCTCCAGTGTGACCGGCAGCTCCTAGCACAGGTTTGCACAAATCTGATACCCAGATATTTCCATAAGTATTTGCAATACTATTGGAAATAAAACTTTGCTCATAGAAACAGTTCTTTGAAGCAGACACCACAAATACTGTTCAAGTAGATATGTGACCCTGGGAAGTTCTCTTGAATACAGTACTAGCCATTTTTGCAGCCTTCCACCATCAGCTGGCACAGTGTAGTAAGAAGAGCTCTGTGGTCCTTACAGCTGTAAGTGGCTCCTTTACTGTCCACAGAGAGCTCGTTTCCACAAGTGGTTCACGTGCTGCCTTCCAGACTGCCTGCTCTGCCCCCTGAAGGTGCAGAATGTGAGTACTCCCTTACTCGTGATGGAATAGCACTTTTCTGGCTTGGGCAGGAAAGGTTTTTTGCCAAAGAGTCTTTGTTTCTGATTCTTTTCTACTGTACCCCAGTTTTTACTCTTGACAAGGGTGGCACTATTTCATTTGTGTACAGTTGATCCTACTTAGCCTTGAAGCCAAGCCTGAAGTAGTGGAACAAGATACAAAATTGACGTGCACTGGCCTTCAGGGAGCACATAAGCTTGTGCCGATGTCCCACTGAAATCTGTAGAGCTGAGCATATACTGAAAATTGACCATATCTTTAGGTTTTCTGCTGAATGAGAGGTTTAAAGAATGTTTGCAAAATAAGTCTATTAAATAGCCACTCCTGGCAAGTCCCAGTCTTTGCCATGTTAGCTCTTTGATGAATTACCTGTACTTCGTATTTCTTGTTGTGTACTGTGCATACATTGAATGTGACTGAATTTGCATTCTTCCACGAAAGGGAAGTACTGGTGTGAGTAATGAGAGGTTAAAACTCCACGGGACTTCTGTCCTTAAGGTAAGCACATTCTAACCCCAAGTCTTGAGTAGCTGTTGTGATTACATGGAAGTTCTGTGATTGCAGATGATGCTGAAACGAGCCAGATCATGTTAAACAACATCAAATACACTCGACTGTATTTGTTACTGAGACTGAGAAAACTGACAGGACAAAGAAAAAAGAACACGTTTAAGAAGTGTTAGAGCATTAAAGCAGCAGTAGCATTGGATAATCTGAGAATTGCTTCTGTGTGAAGTTGTGCTTAAGAAATAGTAGATTAGCAACAAACTGCACCAGGCCAGGTGTTTAAGTCAGTTGTATCCTTTCTGAATTAGGAAAAAAGGAACAGCACAAATGTCAAATCAAGCAATTCCCATGAGAATTTGTGGTTTCCCACTTTTCAGAGGAGTTGTTCCTATAGAATGTTTTTAATATTGACTCCTCACCAAAGAAAGAGGTGCACAGCTGGTCAGGACTTAGATAAATTCCTCTGTTCTAAATTAGTGGCTGGATTGTACCTGTTTGTTAGATTCTTTTGAACAGCTGGTCTTCTGAAGAACAACAGGCTTGTCTGAATGGGACACTGAGCTTGTGTTCACTGTTAGCCTCGAGTCCCTTAGATATTCCCGTGATATTTGTCACTACTGGATTGCTCATTTTAAAATACCTGTTACATGAAATGCTGACAGAACACTTTTTAGTTGTGCCTGTTCCCTCAGAATCCTTTTCTTGGTGTAGTTTTTATTAATTTGCTTAAAACTGCTGTTTCCTAATATCCCACTGTTCTCTTGTCCCTTAATGTTTGCTGTTGAAGAGAAGGTGCAGGCCTCCAGCACACTTTGCTAGCTAAAATCTCCACACCATTTTCCAGTCATTGTCCTTTTTTCTGGAGAAGTCATACTCTGGGGTTTTTTCTTTCTTTTTTTCTCTCTGAGGGGTTTGTGGCAGGTGTCTAAAGGAGATGCCAGAGTTGGTATTAAACAGTCCAGATGTGCAGAAACAGTGCCCCCTCCTGAAGAAACCCACTGAAGTCCCATTACAATGAGAGTCTAGCTGTAAGAGGAAAATCTCCATCTTTTGTTTTTGTTTTTCCAGAGAGAATTCCCTACTGCTCGTGAGTTGCATTCACCAGCACTGGAAGATGTTGTCTCATTCCTCAGCTGGGTGTGAGAGGGAATAATCTTCAGGCCTCTTAGAGCTTGTCAGTTACCACGTAGTCCAGAACCCTGCTTTGGTTCTGGAGGACCCTGTTTGTCTCAGCTGTTGGCTCAAGTGGCCACAATACACGAGCATGCTTTTGCACTTGTGTGTGCTTCCCCCCCAGCCTCCTTGATAGTGAGTCAACAATTGCCACGGTTGTCAGGATTTCAGAAGTACAGACTAACTTCTGGGAAGGCTCCACCTTCCCAGAATACACCTAAAATCATCAGGAGATGTTTAGGTTGGAGGAAGCTGGGATTTCTTAATGTGCAAATGTGCAATTTTTCCAATTTAAGACAGGCTTTTACACCTATTATGGGCTTTTTTTTACTTTGTTCATAAACTCTGATACAAAGGTCTGTTTGTAACAGAGGATGCTGAGTGGGTTTCAGTCAAACTTTATGTTAAAGTTCCATTTAAAGTGCTAGACTTGACAAGTACTTTGTCAGATGCAGGTGTCAGTTGCAGCACATGGCTAACAAGCAGCTCATTCAGAAGGTAGTGCAGGCTGCCCAAAGTAACTTCAGATATTTTGGATTTTGGAACAGTCAATTAACCTTTTGTTACTATGGTTCGTTAAGCCTTATAAGTGCAAGGGAAATACAGTGCGTGGCCGTGCTCTCTTTAGCAAGTAGTTCCATATTCCTAAATTAAAGGTTACGTTAATGGGATGAGTGAAGGGAGGATGCTGCACTTGGGAAGTTGTCTGTTGCTTCTTTGTTAAGGAATCTTAACTAGGCCAAGCGAAGTGTTCAGAGTGGTCATTTCTGCAGCTCGTGGGGTAAGCAGTGTTCCCCGACACCGAAGGCATGGAGGAGGTGCGCTCAGCGTGCGTGCGCACCGCTGGACTGCAGGTGGAGGCAGGCTGCTGAGGCAACACCAGTCCTTGCACGCAGAGACGTATTCAGGGACATCTACTTCTCGTGTGATGGATGTGTAGATATCAAAAAACGCACAGCACAGACCTGACAAACTACTGCCCTCTGATTCTGCAGACAGTGCCACTGGTGCTCAACTTCACCAATGTGAAAGTCTCCCTGGCATCATGGAGACTGCTTATTTTCAAACACTTAACTCCTAAGAAACAGCATTCGTGTTTGTAGGATCAAGGCCTGAGCCTTCAGCCAGTGTTGGTTCCCCTCAGGCTGCCTGACCTTACACTTTCAGTGAGGGGATGGGTGAGAACTTTGCCTGAGGAGCAGAGGGAAGCCTGAGCCTCTTTGAGCTCCGTGTGTTGTCCTGAAATCTGCGGGCAGGATCCCATTAGCAGTGGGGGGCCTTAAATCAGGTGCTTCATGGACACACAAAATACTTGCAAGCTGGATGTGAAAGTAAAGTACAACCTGGTAAGAGAGTAAGGTCTGGTTATGCTGGCAGTGTTTTGCACAGGGAAAAACCCAAACGTTAATAGAAATCACAATGACCTGAAATAAAGATAGGTTCAGAGAAGCAAATCAACAGATGCTGACTGTAGGTGGCTTTTCAGCTTAGTGTATTTTATGTGTCTCTCAGTGTGTTTGAAGAACATTTGCTTTAGGGTATGGCAGCTTGTGCAGAGGATCACCAAACAGTGTCTAGCATAGAGTTTAAATTATTTCAGTAACAGACACTAGCATCTATTTTAATTTGCACATTAATTTCCAGTGTATATGACTGCAATACTGTATTGTCAAAAATGAGAGAAAAACAACACCAAGGTGTTTGTAAGTATGTTCTGTTTGTAGACTTAAGGCTGTATTATGTTGGAATTCTACAAGCCAAGTTTAAATTGTAATATAGAAATTATTTTTATATTATTTTCCAAATATGCTACAGAGCAATAGTTTGCGCCTTTATTATAAACAGGGTCATCATTTCAGTAGGTTGCCTTCAGAAATGCTGGTGGAAATTACCCATGAAAAGAA